GCTGTGGCTTGCGGAGCCCAAAGCCGGTCCCTAAAGGTGGAGCCACCAGCGCGCGCACCCACGCCAGCCAGAACCTTGACTCCCAGACGCGCTGGTGGCAATCGCCGCAGTCCGCACTTTATACCCCAGCCCCTCCGGAGGGAGGCAACTCAGGTAGGGCGACAGCATCGTGGTTGTAAGCATTTGTGAAATGTTATTATCGTTTCTATTTCAAGTGTGCGGAACGAGGCTCGTCTTTCCCATCCCGCCCAGTCCCTGGTCCCTCCAGGCTGCTCTACTGCAGGCGCCCTCCGCCCCGCCGCCGTCCCCGGGCGCACACAGGCGCGCGCACCCTGCCCTCGCTCCCCTCGCTCACGTCCGCGCCCCGCCAGCAGACATGTGACCCGGGGCGACGCGCTCATCCCGGACTTGGAACCCCACTTGAATCTAGTTTGTCAGTTCACGTGATGCCAGGGGCAGTGGTTGACCCGAGTTTCAAGGGACAGAGGTTACCCTCCCGAATGGAATCTGTAGGTCTTCAGCAGGGAGCTTTCTTGACCACTGGAGCAGGTTATTTGTCACTCTCTCCTCGCCTTTGAGTACATGTCTTTTTCCTGAGGTATGCATTATGGAGATAGATATCTATAGCTATGGTACAGAATATAGGTATGGATACCCCGCACTGCATTACTTGCTGTGCTCTGGAGTTGTGAGATGGCCAAGTGGCTTCTTCTCTCTCCTGCTGCCCCCAGAGGAATTTCACGGGCGAACCCACCGAGCACAAGGGCAGTTTTTGTGTTGAGGACTGGGAGGGAGGTACAGTGAAGGGCCATTCTTCACTGTGCATGTAGAGCCCAGCACCCCTGGGGTTTAAACCACACGGTGGCAGTGGGCTACGTGCCCCAGTACGCGCCATTGCATCCGTACTCTTACAGAGAAGCGAGGCCCGGGCGAATGTGGTGAATGGGGCCATTAAGTTTCCGAGGAGGAACAATATAGTGCTGTTTGTTTTTGTGCTGACTGGAGAAAAATAAGCAAAAGTACAAAGTACTTTTTCATGATCTTAAGGCAGAATCTGTACATTAATGCTGGCCTCCAGTACCGCCTAGTAAATGAAGAAGGCCAAGGAGAAAAGGAATTCCACAAGAAAGGGTGATTAGTTAGGTCATTGCTAACTCCCTGGTTTAAGTCAATGGACAATTTCCATGAACTTAAAGACAAAGATGAGGAAAGCGGGAGATTTTTAAAGTCCTTACATTTGTGTAATCCAGTCATGTTTGAACTGTGGGTTGTTAATTACTGAGTCATGAACTTAATGCATTGACTCAAAGCTACCATTTTAAAAAATGATTTGGAGTAGAATAGCAGAGTACATGACAAAGGAAGAATAAATATGTTACTATTCAAATCTTGCGTTTCCATTACATGTATGTGTGTGTGCAAAGGGTCCACTGTGTAATGTGACCTTTCTTACTGTGCACCGAGGTAAAGACTTGGAGAGTCACCGGGGTGCAGATGCTGTCCAGGTCACCCGGCAAGTCAGAGTGTTACGGGAATTTAGCAGTCCTGTGCTGTCCACCCCACCACACTGAAGGAAGAGGAAGGGGAGGAGGCAGAGGGCTAGGGACCATTTCTTTAGTCCTTTATCCCATCTTTCAACAAAATCTTTCATTAGCTACTCTATCTCAGGCCTAGTGTCAAAAACTGGAAGCTCAGTGGAAACAAATTAACTTGTCACCTCTCAATTTAAAGTCCCTGCAAGAGGCAAACATTAAACAAGTAAACACAAAAGTAACCATATATATGATAAATATAGGACTGGTGAAAAATAAGGTATATATTTAAATTTTAAAATTTTTAATATATTAAGACACACGGCCATTAAAATACTCCTCTTCGATTAGAACGGCTGTCCTGTCCCATCATTCTTGCCACTTTCTGGAGCAGTTCTGGAAGTCCTCTTTCAGGAGTGTCTTTATGAGGTATGATCAAAACTACTGTGGCTGCTGCTTCCAAGGGCCATCCAGTAGAAAGGCAGCCTCATAAAAACGTTACAATGTGTTTTCATCAAGAGTATTCACTAAATCTGGTATTATATGGCTTCTGGATTTTCCCCAAAGTCAAAATGACCATTAAAAAGTAAGCACTTTGAGTTGGTGTAGATGATGAAGCTACAACAGAACAACTAAAGACAGTCATGAAAGAGGTCTTTCAGAACTGCTTCAGACAAGTGGCGAGAATGACGGGATAAGTGTGTTCAAAGCCAAGGAGAGTATTTCAAGTGGGGTTAGCAGCAACGTGTCTTTTATTGTAGTAGATTTTTTAAAATTAAAGGGTGGTCATTTGCTTACCATAATTTTTTATCATATCCATCAAGAAAATTATAAAGGAAAAAAATACAGGGTCTTAAGATATGGGAGGCTGTCATTAATAACACAATCTAAAATGCCTGAAGGATAAAGAAATTTATTGTTTCAGGTGGTATGAAGTCCCAAGGTCAGAAGGCTCTAGGTGGTGAATTCAGCAACTCAGTATTGTCAGGGATGACTGTGAGTTGCCTCTGTTATTCCCCAGCTATCCCTACCATGCCAGCTTTGTCCCTAGTGTCCCCCCACTGAGGTGTCAGATGGCTAGAGCAGCTGCAGTTAGTATAGTCCTGACAATGTCTGAGAGCAGCGGAAAGTCCTCCTTTCAAAAAGAGGGAAATCCTTCTCATGAGCTTCACACCTGCCATTCATCAAAACTGAGTCAAAAGCCCACTTCTACATGCTGGGAACATAGGAGGAATTACCACAGGTGGTTGGCAAGAGCCCTTCAGGATGTGGCCCTGAACTCCTCAGAGGTGCTTTCTTTAGAAGTGAATACCCAAACAAAGAGGAGGTGGAAATGGATATTGGGTAAGCAATCTAAAGTCAGGGGCAGGGATTCAGGGATAATTTCAGAGGAAACGGGGTGTACAGTCTGACTCTGCACCATGTGGTGAAGGAGTCTATGTAATTTTTCATTTACTCTCTCCCCTAGACGAAGCAAGCAGACCTCAGAGAGCAAGTTCGAAGAGTTAAATAACTGATCAAACTCACAGAGCTAAATAAGTTGCAGGGCTAACCGAAGTCATTCCAGAACCTAAGAGCCTGGCCTTTCCTGCGTCTCCAGAGAGTGAGACACCATAAGCCACTGCCCCTTCTCCACTGTTGATGAAGAATACAGACCCCTCCAAACTCCTCTGAGATGTTTCTCTGGGCCTCAGGCAGAGTGGGATGTGTTCACGAGTAAACCTTCTCCTTCCTACCAGGTTTGCTGCTGCTCCACTGGGAGTCTGGTCTCTTCTGGGCCTTGCCAGCTCAGGGCGAGGGTTCTCATGCTGTCAAAGCTCAAGGAAGCCTAGGGTCATGGGAAGGATGAAAGGCTCTTCTTCTCTTTGTTGTGCATGCAACTAGAGAAGTTCTCAGGAAGACTCCATGCTTCTCAGAAATCTCTGGCTGACTCTCCTGGAGAACCACATCCAAGGGGCTGAGCTAGGAACAGAGCCCAGCAATGCTTCTGTGCTGAACCCAGACTTCAAAGCTCCCGGACTACCAGCTTCCATTCAAATTCCTCCATCCTGCGTCCTGTTTTCTGGGAATTAATTTCCACACCAAAGGCCCTGTAGTCACAGTTGCACATGGATATCCCTTACCCAGCAGAGGCGCCCTGGACTCCCAGCATTTGAACTTCAGTTCAGAGCCACGCAGGTTCGGGCTGAGCTCCCTTCTGTGTACCAGCAGATCTCCTGCGGTCATGAGAGGGACAAAGCCACTGTCTTGCTGGTTCACACTCCGTTTTCTCACCATCTCTTGGGTCTTGCGTCCTTCTTTATTCTTTCACATGCTTATTTTACCACTCTGGCCCCATGAGGAGCCATTCCAAATGCTAAGCCTGGAGTCTTGATTAGGTCATTGTGCTTTCTGATTGGCTTTGCCCAACCCTACCCAAGGAAAATTATTATTTGCCCTTAAGCCTTCTACTGTTTGAGTTGATTCTGCCACGCCACTTCCATGTTTCCTAACCTCCCCACAGCCAAAGACTCTTCTTCTCCCCTTGATGCCACTTCGTCCTAACAGCCCACTGACTACCAGCAAGCAGCTCCCTCCTGTGTGGTCCGCAGCATTGTGCTGCCTCACTTACAAAGCCCCGTCCCCTATCTGCCTTACTAGACTTCACAACAGGGACTTTGTTGTATTAATTCTTTTATCTCCAAAACACATGTACTCAAATCTCCTTGTAATTTAAGATAATTAGACTCTTTAATCTTCTGTTGTGTTTTCTTTAAAAAAAAAACTGCCAAGATACCAGAGACCTAAAAGAGATGTGAATATCTAGTGTCTTAATTCCTTCATGGGAGCTTACTACTAATGTTGTACTGGTACAGTCTTCCAGGCCCAGCACTGGGATCCTTCTCCGTTCTACTCTTTTCTTTCCAAGGGGACAGTGGCCTCTTCCTTGCTACATCCTTCGCACTGACTCCTGGTGGGAAGGAGGATGAGCTTCAGAGCGTGAACCTGCCATGCTGTGGCTGTTTTCCAACCCATCCAGGCAGCAGACACAGCTGCCATGTGCGTCCCCCATTTTGAACTGGCCAGAATCTTGCCCGTGCTCCTCTTGAACATCTTCCATCCTCTACCTCCACTCCCACTCAGTCTGAATTTTCCCACAACTCTGTGCTTAATCCCCCCTCCCAACCTCTTCTAGCTTCAACCATGACTTCTACATATCTGACTGGTCTTCAGAACTTCCCCAGCCCCGAAAGAAGGAGAAATTTTGTATGTATGTATATA